TCATCAAATTATAGTGGGTGAAGTCGTCGTTTACTACCGTCATCGCCCGGATAGTAGACAGTGTCGAATAATAGACATGTGTTGTCTATTATCCGGGTGTCTCTTATAAATAGGATAGCCTCATTATAAGACACCTATTTGTGTGTACGAGATAAGACATATATGTCTTATAATCATAGCAGTGGTTAGGGGTTTTCTTATAAACAGGGGGTGTATTCTAAACGAACATTAGTTACTTTAGGGGGGTACATGCATACATCTACGAATCTCTACTTCTACCTAGCCCCCCTCAGTCACGGCCTCCTCACCTGCACTAAGAGCAGGTTCCATAACACCCAGGTCTGACACTCGCCAGGCATGCCTAGCCGTCTCCCTGGGCTCGATCATGCGGTCAGCCTCAGCAGCCGCTCCGCGGTAGTTGGGGGTCTACTGGTACAACACATCCAGGCCGGTTGCCACTGCCACCTCCCTCACGCCCTCCGCCTGCATCTCCTCCTCCTCCAGAGCATGCCCGAGCAGGCGCGTGTTGTCGCCCGTGGTTCCCCCGAGGCACATGTCCTCGGAGACATCGGTGGTGCTCCTGGCGCGCATGTGAGACATCACCAAGTGGTTCTCCGTCCTGTCCAGCTTGCTTGAAATCCCACAGTGGCGGAACGCTTCAATGATGACCTTCTTGGGGACTTGATCCCACGCCTCCGCGATCCACTGCAGCACCACGGGGTGCGGAGGCCGCCGCAGGTTCCCTGCGTATGGGACAGAGGCAGGGGTAGGAAGCCGTTAGAGTCATGGAAAGAAAACATCGCAGAAGTTTAATTCATAAGGCTACTCACCCGCCTTCGTCTTCAGGTGAATCCCTTCACGCATGAACCACTTGGCGTAACGCGCTCGCACAGCAGCCTTGAAGCAACGGTTGATGGGGACGTCAAGGGGTTGAATCTGGCTCGTGCAACCCGTTGGGAAAACTGCAGGGGTGATGCTGTGCGTGCGGCAAGCTTGAAGCATGGTCTGGGTCATGTGGTCGCGGTAGGAGTCCAACACCAGCATCGCACGCCCCGCGTTTTGGCCGCGCTGGGGGTTCAGATGGGGCAGCACCTCCTTGGTCAGCCAGGTCTGCACGGCGCTCTCGTCCATCCAGCCGTTGTCCTGTGCTCGACATACGATTCCTGCCAGGCACATAGGGGATTGACGGGCGTCAGCCAAGGAGGGCAAGCTCATCAGGCTTACGGCTCCCGAATTCCTTGAGCTTACCTTCCGGAATCTCACAGCTGGGCACGTTCTTCAGCTTGAACCAAACCCACGGGCGCAGCTTCTCCCCAGATGCGGTGCACGCGAGCATCACCATGAGCCGCGTCTTCTCGTATCCTGCAGTGCGGGTTGGGACCGAGGGCGCGCCACGGTGCTCGATCATCCTCTCGGCCGGCATCTCAACGAAGAGGGGCATCTGGTCCGCGTTGATGATGCGGGCCAGGTCGATGTTGTGCCGCGCCCTGTTGATGCGCACGAACTTCCAGAACGACTCACAGTCCTTAGCGCACTCTGCAAACGGAACACACGCCACGGCAGGAGGGGATGGTTAGAAACAAAGGGCGAGGAACATGCAGTCAAGCATCGAGCGCGAATTCAAGGCCTTTACCACTCACTAGCCGATAACCGTTGGCCGACCGTGGTCTTCACACGCATGACCAGGTTCCAGCGGTCACGGAAACGCTGGCTCCACTGAGAGCTCGCGTTCCGGTTCTTGCCGGGGTGGTGTTTCTTCATCCACTCGCGGCCTCCATTTCTGGGTGTCTTTCACCGAGATCGCCACCCCATTAGCGCGCTGCAGGCAGACGTAGTGGTACAACGCCGCCTCCATGTCGGGGTAGTGTGCGTGGCGCCCCCCCCCCTGTGCATCCGCTTGCGGCAGTTCGCCGCTCCCTTGTAGACGCCCGCAACCGCCTCCGCACGCCAGCGTCTGATGCAGGCGATGGATGCGGTAGATTCAAAGGATGTCTTCTTCAAGGAGCCGAGCTCGTAGTAGCGGCGCGCCCACTTGAGCTTCTCGCGTACGGTCCATCTGCGTCGCCTTTTTTTACTGTCCTTGCTGCGAGGGGAAGGTGCACGGGAGTTGGGATTATGGAGGGTGGGGTCTTTCGGCTTCGCCATCTCAGGGAATGAAGGAATCGGGCCTGCAGCCTCCACGTAGTCATCGTCGCTGCCGAGCGCTTCGTTGACCACGATGTCATCCTTGTTTGGCGTTTTCTTCTTCTCCTTCTTAGCAGCACCCGTGCTGGATCCGGGGTCGCCGTCGTTCTTCCGCTTCTTGTTGCTTGTGCGGCGACGAACGGTGGCCTTAGCAGGGGCTTCCTCGACCTTGCTTTTCCCCTTGTCTGCAGCAGTGATGCGCGGTTGACGTTCCTCCCCCGGACTGTCGTCATCAGAGAGCACAACGCGGGCACGATTCGGCTTGGATTGTAGGCGGTGACGCAGCCTCCGCTTAAGAAGCAGAACATCGTCGTCACCCGTGATGTTCCACGGGTTGTCATCGGAGTTTTCACCGTCAAGGGGGACAGCATAAGCACCTCCCTCCGCAGCATCCGTATCCGCCTCCGCCACAGCATCCGCATCCGCATCCGCAATTGCGGCCACATCCGCGGGCGCAACAGCATCGGCATCCGCTTCCGCCTCCTCTTTCGTCCTCGCTTCCGCATGCGCCTCGTCGTCAGCCTCCGCATTCGCATCCACCGTCGCTCCCGTTGCATGCTCTGCTGCCACCACGTGCTCACCATCAGCATCGGCACCCTCGTCGTTGTCTGAATCACCAGCCCGCCACTCTTCCACTTCGTCGTCACTCCCAACCGGCCGATTCCACCAGTCGTCCTCGTCGATGTCGGCAGGAGCTATTTCATCGCCCGAAGCGCTGTCGTCGTGGCCGTTCTCCGGCCAATCCTCCTCGACGTCGTCGCCGTGTTCTTCGTCGCCCTCGTCGCCGTGTTCTTTGTCGTCGTCGTCCCCGTCACAGCTCGCACCGGAGGCGGCGGTAAATGTTCTTTCCTTGCGCGTATTCTTCACCATGGCTACACGGATGTCATCACCGGGCGAGTTAATTCGCCCGTAGTTATTCACTTGCACGTGAGGGCGAGGTGAGGACGTGCCTACGGGGACTTTGCTGCGCATGGTTACGGTAAGCCTGCCGAGAGCAAAGGTTGAGTTGAGATCCTAACCTCCTTGAGCACCAAATGAAGCTCAAGCCCGACTACCCCCCCCTTCCCCCCCCCAGCCAGAGTGCCCCTTCCAAAGGTGCCGAGCCGCTCCCCTACGAGGAATCTCTTCGTAGAGGACAGCCCTCACGCTGCCATCGTGCTGCCAGCAGCGTTCTGGAAGCATCCATGCGCTGCTGGCAGCATCATTAGATGCTGCCAGCACGGAGGGATGTTGCCAACAGTGGCAGCTTTACTGCATCCCTCACGTGGCAAGTGGGGGCGCTGCAAGCATCACCACAGAGGTCGTTATGTTTCAATGAATCTGGCCCCTGAGATGTTTCTATACACTTCCCAACTATTACATAGTGCTTTTTTTTTTTCCATTTATAAGACCTTTAAAGCCCAAGACCTGAATTACAAAAAAAGGAAGGCAAACTGTGCACAGTTTGCCTTCCGAGCCCACAGTTGACTTCCCGAGCCTCTCTGGTTACCAAATGACGCCCCGCAAAACTGCAGAGAGTCGTAAGCCCAAAATTGGTTGGCGAGAGTCCCAACCGCTCCCTCCTGAAGGGAGTAGGGCAAGGCAAGCTGTGTACAGATTGGAAATTGTTGTAATTCAGGTCATGCTCGACCACATAGTAGTCACGTGAAACTCCTAGGTAGAGCAGAAAGCCAATAGAGCTGGAGCCCAATCCACCGGAAAAAAAAAGAGAAAAAACACCAAACAGATTCTATGCGATGGCGCCGCTTTTTACTCAGCGTCGTCGTCGAAACCCTGCGCGACCGCGCAAACGACAGTTTGCGGCGCATGCATCTCCTCTCCGAGCTCGATAATAGGTAATCAAACGGTCGATCGCGGTCATTTCCCGCGCATTTGCCCTATGTTTGCCTCAGCTACATTCCCCTCCCGCGCTTCCTAGTCGACGTCACACCCTGCCACCCACGCTTCCCCTCGTCGCCGTCGCCGTCCCCCACGCTTCCCCCCACCGTCGCCCTCGCTTCCTCCCGCTGTCGCTCACACTTTACTCCGTCGTTGACCACGCTCCCCCTCCCGTCGCTTTCGCTTCCTCCCACCGTCGCCCTCGCTTCCTCCCACCGTCGCCCTTGCTTCCTCCCACCGTCGCCTTCGCTTCCTCCAACCGTCGCTTTCGCTTCCTCCCACCGTCGCCCTCGCTTCCTCCCACCGTCGCCCTCGCTTCCTCCCACCGTCGCCCTCGCTTCCTCCCACCGTCGCCCTCGCTTCCTCCCACCGTCGCCCTCGTTTCCTCCCACCGTCGCCCTCGCTTCCTCCCACCGTCGCCCTCGCTTCCTCCCACCGTCGCCCTCGCTTCCTCCCACCGTCGCCCTCGCTTCCTCCCACCGTCGCCCTCGCTTCCTCCCACCGTCGCCCTCGCTTCCTCCCACCCTCCCCTACACTCCGCCGTCGTCATCACTTCCCTGCCTATCACGTTCACCCTCTTCGTCACACGTCGCCTCTCTCTCTCCCCCTATTCTACCTTCACCACTCCTACCGTCGTCCATGGTTACCACCCCACACTTGAACCCTTCTCATTCTCTCACATTCTCCCTTCTCCCTTGCTTCTCGCCCACACTAAACGCTGAGATGTATGGCGCCTGGGCGCTGGGTATGGGGTCGTGAATTGTTCGCTGTGGGGTGTGTGAGGGTGCGTGGTGCGAAGGCTAGGGGAGAATGAAAGCTGATGGGGTGCGAGTCGAGGAGCACGCACCCTGCCCCTCACGCTGTGTCACTCACAACCCAATGGCAGCACAGCAAGCTTAGCAACCTCCTCCTCACTCTCGCACCAACCCCGCACACAGCCGGGGAAGCTCGTGCAGGCGGGCAGTGAGGAGCGCTGTGCACAAGGGGGCGAGGGGGTGGGGCAAGGGAGCGGGGGAGGCGTGGCAGGGGAGTGAGGGAGGGGGGAGTGGGGGAGGCGGGGCAGGGGAGTTGGGGAGGGGGGCAGGGGAGTGGGGGAGGGGGGGCAGGAAGCCGTTCCGTCTTCCTCCTCTTCCTCTTATTTGCCTTCTCCTGTCCGTCCTTCCACTCTCCATGCCTCCCTCCTCTCTTTCTCTCTCTTTCCCTCCTTCACTTCTCCCGTCCGCCCGTGCTCCCAGCCTCCCTCCTCCGTACCACTCTCCCACCCACTCTTTCTTTCATCCTCCTGCCTCTCTTCCACCCTGCCACTCTTCTTTTCAGACTGCCACCTTCCGAGCTTCTTTTAGTCCACCTTTCCGTCTCACCCACTTGTCCTCTCCCAACTTGATCCTCACATCCTCCCATCCCCCCTTCTCCCCTTCCACCCTCCAACCCTTGCGCTCATCCTCCCTTCGTCTCACCCTCCTTTTTTCTCATCCTCCCATCCTCCCTCTCTTCCCTCCCCCCTCCCTTCCTCCTGTCCTCCCTTCCTCCCTTCCTTTCTTCCTCTCTTCCACCCTCTGCCCTACTCTCTGCTTCAGTGTCTTTCTCCCCTCTCTTTCCCCTTTCCTCCCTCCCTTCATCTCATCCTCTCTTCCGCCCTTCCTCCTTGTCTCCCTTGCTCATTTCTCCCTCCTCATATTCCCTGTTCCCTGCGTCCCTCGCTGCCATCCTCCCTTCCTCTCAGCCTCCTCACTTCCTCTCGTCAACCATTCCTCCGCACCCTTCTACCCTGCCACGCCTATACACTCCTACCTTGTTCTAGGGGCTTGTTTCTTGTTGCCTGCCTGCCCTTGCATTGTCATTGTTTTGTATCCTTCCCCGCTGCTTCGACTCTTGGCACATTAGATTTTGTGGTTCGTGTTTGTGCAGGTCTGCCATGTATCTAGCTGTGATGCCTTCACTCTTTGATGATAGTGGTATGACAAATAGCCATGCCATGTATGTTGGATGCTTCTCATGATACAACACTTTGGGCCTCGGAGCAGCCATGTACGTGAGCACGACAATGAAATGCAACAAAGCAAGAGATTTTCTTCCTTACAGTTGTCGCCAGTGGACTACAGGCACAATGCACAAATCTGGAAGGTGGTAACTTTCCATCCCACTCCTGTTGGGACCCATGGTGCTGGGCACCTGTACAAGCATGGTTCTGTGATAGAACGGGGAGGGAAGAGTGGGTATGGCGAATAAGCAAGGGCTGGAGGTTGGAGGTACAGAAGGGCATGTATAGCTGTGGAGCGAAAGGCAGTGCGGATGGTGGTGGTGGTGCTGCTGCTCGGGCTGTTGCTGTTGCTCTAGGAGTTACAACTGCTGCTACTTCTGCTGCGCCAGCTGCGCGCCTTTTTCCCTCCCCCTCCTCCTCCTCCTCCTGCTGCCGTGTCAAGAGCGGCTCCCTCAGCACGTCCCCAGCACCGCCAGCACTCGCAGATGCGGGCACATGGGGCCCCTTGCGCGCCGAGTCAGAGGAGGCACCTTGCGCAGAGGGGCGTCGCGAGGAGCAGCGCTGTGACGCTGGTGCCAGGGAGGCTGCCAGACCCACCGGGCTGTGCAGGGCGGACGCACCAGCAGCAGCACTGCCTCCGGCACCTGTGCCTGCAGCTGGAGAAACGGGAGCAGCGGCGGCAGCAGGAGCAGCAGGCGCAGCAGTGAGAGTGAGTGCAGGAGGCGGGGGCGAGGCGCCAATGGTGAAGGCAAGAGAGGGCGGGGAGAAGGTGGATTGAGAGAACACCAGCCTGGCCCTTGCAGGCGCCAGTGCGACCGCCGAGTCAGAGGAGGGGGGGATAGAGCCGGGCGGAGGGTTACCCTCCCGTGCTGCTGGAAATCCCCCCCTGCTGCTGACCGCCCATGGGGCTGCTGCTGCCCCCCATGCCTTGCACTGCAAGGAACGCACCCGACGACGCACCACCGGCGCCCATGCTGCTGCTCCCCTCCGTCGCCCAGTACGCTCCCGAGGCACCCTCCATCGCACCACCGCCACCCGTGCCCATGCCCACGAGCAAGGGCATGGCTAGCGCGCCTCCCACTCCCCCTCCCCCTCCCCCTCCGCCTCCTCCTCCGCCTCTCAGCGAGGGAGCTGACGCGGCTGATGTCTGACAGCAGAGAGCCGTAGCTCTCACTCCGCTCCAACACTCCCCGGCCCCCTCCCGCGTGCCCTCCCTCTCCCCCTCCCTCCCCCGCCTGTCCGCCCCCAGACGCGCCTCGTCCTCGGGGAAGCTGCCCAGCATCACTGCCCGCTCCTCCCTCCCCAAGCTCCGTGCGGGTGAAGCGAAGGCTCCGCGCGGGGAAGCAAAGGCTCCGCGCGGGGGAAGTACCTGCATTTTTACACCATATCTCATCGCACGCCGCTCAATATCCTTACGCTTCGAACTCACATTCCGCACCACACACCATCGCATCGCGCCTTGATCGCTCTAGAGTCAACGGCTACGCCCTGCCTACACGTATTCTATATTATGCCTAGTTTTAGTATGCTGCTAGGATTGTCAAAGTGTGCACAGTTTGGTAGGCACGCTCAACTCTGGTTGTGGGAAGCACGCCATTCATCACAGGTCTTCTTCCAAGCGACACAACTTTGTTGCAAACTGGTTTCGCGAGTGAAAGGGTTTCGCAACCAAACCGAACCTCTTCCGAACCTAGTTTTTTGGCGTTGACTTCCGTTGAGTAATTCAGGTCTTGGGCTTTAAGACACCCCAAACCATCCCAAACACAAGATAACCCAAGCATTTTGAGTAGTGAACGAGATAAGACATATATGTCCACTATTCGGGCGATGACGGTACACGCCCCATGTGTAGTTAGTCAGGCGAATGATTCCATGGATATGGTGAGAGCTCCATCGGCTCATTGTGGCTCACCAGCCAGAGCAATGGAGGGAGATGATGGACGAGGAGTTGATTCAGAGGTTGATAAATGGAAATGATAATTTTTGAAAGTGTAATGAAATGTAACACTTTCTAAAATTTTGTATTGTGAAAAGGGGTACGTGGCCAACACAGCAAAGGTAGCGCCGAAGCGCTACTCACCCTCTTTTGCCTACAAAAGAGGGACGTGGGGACATTCGTCCCCACCCACGTTTTCATTTCCGAAATTGTAGTTCTAATTTCGTTCTCGTCCACACTGGCGAAGACTCAGTCGCTTCCGCGCTTCACGGCCCCGTCAACGCTCCTTAACGACACCCTTAAGCGCAACCTCGCAACGATGGCTCCAGTCAACCCGGCACTTAACCGCGACAACTCGAATATTTCAAGCCCCGGTAACGCGGCGGAAACCTCGACTCCGGCCGGGACAACGGATCGTCGCGGAAAACGCCCCGCCGAAGAAATTTCAAGCGAGGGACCTTCGGCGGTCGACCTCCTGCTCGGAGGCACCCTTCGGACCCCTCCTGAGGAACGCGCGACTGTTGTACAGTCGCGCGTGGCTGCTGCTGAAGGGCACGTGCCTGGCAGGCACGCGCGTGCCACGCAGAAGAAGACGACCGCCGCTGACGCGGCAGCCGTCTTGACCGCCGCTGACGCGGCAGCCGTCTTGACCGCCGCTGACGCAGGTCCACCCGGGCCCACGACCCAGAAACGCCAGCGCGCGGCACCCTCCGCTGACATCACGCCGGTCAAACCCCCCCCCCCCCCCCCCCCCCCCCCCCCCCTTTGACTACGCAGCAGCTGCAGGCGCTGCTCTCGTTATTGCAGCAGCACGCGCCATCGACTACAGCTACATCAACTGAAGAAATTTCTGCTTCCGCTAAAATTGAAAAGCAGAAGGAACCTGTCGCGCCCCCCGCTCCACCAAGGTCGCTCGTACCAACAACGCTGCTCCTGCTCCCCCCCCGGATCCGGCACCAACCCAAGCCCGTATCCGCGACGACAGCGACGACTCAGAAAATGAAGACGGCGAGGCCCCCGACAACCTTGCTCGCCGTCGCATTCTCGCACCCGCACCCCCCCTCCCCTCCCTCAACCCTACACCCGCAGCTACTACCTTCATGCGCAAGGGAGTGCGTGACCAGGCGGAGGTGTTCTCTGCAATTCAAGCTCACCTGAGGCACGTCGAGTTCAAGCTCCAACACGGCGACGTCGAGGGCGCGCTCTCCAACGTGGCGCAAGTCGAAACGTTGATCAACAAACGTTTCGAGGTGCTCTTGGTGGCGGATGAGGCTGGCTTCGAGGCGGCGGATCGGTTCCAGCTGTACCAAGCCAAGAGCGTGCTCACGTCCCGCTCTTACAAGCTCGCGGTAGCCGACGTGGCGGCCCTCAAGCGTGCACGCACCGGTTTCGCCCGCGGAGGCCGCCTTCCCCCTCGAGACGGCGAAACGGAAAGAAAAGGCATGCCGCCCGCGGGCTGCCACGAGCCCCGCTTCAAGGGAGTGTGTTTTCGTTGCGGCCAGCCCGGCCATATGGCAAACAATTGCTCTATGGGAGGGCGTGGAGCACAAGGTCCCGCACTCGTGGTGTGAGAGGACCCATGGGGCGGCGCCCCTTGCCACTATGCCGGGGGGCGTAGGTGGATGCACCGGTGGTGCGTAGGCTGGTTAGGAGCCTTGGAGAGTAGCATAGGCCATGAGGGCCAGGACAAAATGGCAGCCGTAGGGGCTGGTTATGGTGTAGGCCTAGGCTTCTATGCCTTTGTGTGGATTAATAAAAGAATATTGTTATCAAAAAAAAAAAGGGGGAGAGAGAAAGAGAGACAACAAGAGGAGGGAGGACGGATGGCATGGCAAGTCAAAAGCCAGCCCCCTCTTGAGGAAGGCAGCCATGGAGGAAGAATTGGCCAAGGGTGAATTAAGAGGCAAGGACCGAGAGAAGAAAAAATAAAAAATAAAAATGACACACACACACACACACACGGAATGAGGGAGAGGAGAGAAAGAGAGAGAGGAAGAGAGAGAAAGAGGGAGAAAGAGAGAGGGAGAGAGAGAGAGAGGGAGACAGAGAGGAAGAAAGGGGGAGAGAGAGAGAGAGAGAGAGGGAGAGAGAGAGGGAGGGAAAGAGCAAGCAAGGAAGAGAGAGAGACAAAGAGCGAGGGAGATAGAGAGAGAGAAAGAGAGAGAGAGAGAGAGAGAGAGAGAGAGAGAGAGAGAGAGAGAGAGAGAGAGAGAGAGAGAGAAAGAGAGAGCGAGTGAGAGCGAGAGTGAGAGAGAGAGAGAGAGAGAGAGAGAGAGAGAGAGAGAGAGAGAGAGAGAGAGAGAGAGAGAGAGAGAGAGAGAGAGAGAGGCCATGAAGACATCGTGATGAACAAGGTTGTGGGACCAAGTGACGCACATGCGCCGATCTCGTTGTAAGGCAACCTCCAAAAAAAAAAAAAAAAAAAAAAAAAAACACACGCAAAAAACCCCTGCAAGGGCGTCATGGCTGACGAGTGGTCAAGGGAAGTGTAAAAAAAAAAAAAAAAAAAAAAAAAAAAAAGCCAAGGGTGCGAGGAGGCGCGAAGGTGGTGACAGGCGAGCGACATAGTTTGCCCTGCAAAGCGTCTCGATAAATCTCGCGTCTAATCGACCTTGGTCCTCGTTCCCCCCCCCCCCCCCCCGCAACCTCGGCTGCCCACCAGTTGCAGAAGTGGAAGGCGAGTGGCAGAGCGCTCACTGGGACCCATACGAGCACGCAATAACAGACAACATGGTGTCCATCATGCGAATGCGATTGCGCAACAGCCTCCACTGGTGGCTATCATGGTGCGACAACAGTCTGATCCTTTCCATCATTGCCAAAGGTTACTGGCTACCATGGAAGGGCGCGGAGCCTCTCCCCTTCGAAGCTCCCAATCACGCAGGGGTTCAAGCACACATGGCATTTACCCAAGATGCTGTCAGCGACCTCATCGCGTCAGGCGTCGCGATAAATGTCTCGTCGAAAGCCGCACTTACGTGCATCAGCCCGCTCAACGTTGTGGAGCAACGTGAAATGTCGGTTCATCCTTGACCTGCGAAAGGTCAACACTCACCTCCATGTTCCCAAGTTCAAGTACGAGGGCTTGAGTCGGGTCGCGGAGATCATTCGCCCAAACGACTGGATGCTCACAATCGATCTCAAGTCAGGCTACCACCACGTCGAAATCCACCCATCGTGTTGGAAGTTTTTAGGCTTTCAATTGGGTGGAAAGTTCTATTGCTTCACATCCTTACCTTTCGGCCTGGCAACAGCCCCGATCGTCTTCACCCAGCTCATTAAGCAACTAGCCAAGAGATGGCGCGCGCGGAGTGCGCGTAATACCGTACGTGGACGATCTACAACTCCGCAACTCCGAGGCGCAAGCCCGTTCGACGTGCATCGAAGTTCTCCACGACCTGAAGGCGGCAGGATTCGTGATAAATTCTAAGAAATCAAACCTGCATCCCGCACACCACTTGCGCTTTTTGGGGATGGAGCTTGACACGGAACGAGGAATGTTCCTCGTCGGAAAAGATCGGCGCGAGCAACTACTGCAGGAGCTCCACCTACTCATAAAAAAAGGGCAATCAGGTCGACAAGTGCCGATTCGCAAGATAGCGCGGATGACTGGATTTCTCAGCTCCATGTCGCTCGCGCTAGGCACGACGGCGCGTGCCTTCAGCCATGAGCTCCTGCACTTGATCGACTCCACGTGGTCATGGAACTCGAAGGTTGTATTGTCACCAGGAGCGACAGAGGAGCTGTTGTTTTGGACAATGCACTTCGATCGTTTCAATGGTGCCCCATTCCACCAGAGTCAACGTTTTGATGCCGTGATCCACGTCGACGCAAGCGCACACAGCTGGGGTGCCACCTTGGCCAAGTTCCCAAGTACATCATGCGAAGCAAGCGAGTGCATGCCACGAGGGCTTCTCGCCACATCCAGTACGCGGCGAGAGCTCGAGGGAGTGCTCTGGGCACTGCGGACGTTCGCAACCCGGATCGTGGGTGCTCACGTCCTCGTTCGGGTGGACAACCAGGCAGTCATGTTCATCTTGCGCAAGGGGGGATCCCGTCAGGCGGATCTTACGTTGACATGCCAAGCGATCATCCAGTTCTGCCTCGGCAACACAACACGCCTCGCGATCGAATGGATTCCGAGAGAGCTCAACGCCCATGCGGATGACCTATCCAAGATGCAAGATTATGACGACTACTCCCTACATGCACCTTGGTTTCGCCTCTTGGAACGCCGATGGGGGCCCCACACAATTGACCTCTTTGCTAACCTTCGGAACAATCACGTCCAGCGCTTCTGCTCCAAGATACCGCACCCCGACGCGTTCGCTGTCGACGCATTCTCCATCTCATGGAAAGGCGAGCGATGCTTTGCCTTCCCGCCTCCACACTTAATCCCCGCTACGCTCTGCCATGCAGAGCTTACACAGACAGAACTCACGCTGGTAGTTCCCTAGTGGACCGGGGCGTCATGGTGGCCGCTCCTCCAACCGTCCACTCAATCGTGGGCTCCGGCAGTAGTAGAGCACCTTTCCCTTGCCCAAGGCAGTCAATGCCTTCGGGCAGGTTCACACACCACTGCATTTTCTGGTATCGGATTGCCTCATAGCCCAATCATTGCTTTGCGTGTAAACTATGCAGTCTAATAAAGATTTATCAATATGTCATTTCAGGACTTTTGGCTAAACTACAGCAACAATTGATGCACGCAATTAGCCACGTTCGCGCACCATCTACAATCGAGACGTACCAACCTTATTGGCAGAGATTTTGTACCTTCTGTACCGAAGTCAAGCTCGAGTTCCTACCGGCAACCGACCTGACGCTATCACTGTATCTCATCCATGCGCTCAACAACAAAGCAACTCTCTCTGCGATCAACCTTACATGTTTGGCAGTAGCCTTTGCCCACCGCATGACAGGCGAAACCTCCCCTACCGTCGGTCCATTCACCCTGCAAGTGCGGGAGTTCGCCATGCGACATGGTCCCCGACCTGCAAGGACCAAAGAACCCATATCTCTCCATCAAGTGCACAACATGGCCCGTCCCTTCCTTGAATCATCAATTCCGGCGGAATACCAGAAAGGATTGATTCCTCTTCTCATGTTTTCGGCATTCTTGCGCTACTCTGACCTCGTATCGCTCCAATGGCATGATTTACAGTTCAAGGAGAAGGCAATGTGGCTGCTCATCCCGCACTCCAAGATGGACCAGGAAGGGAGGGGTGTCTGGATCCCAGTGGCGGCAATTCCAGGTGCCAAACATATATGCTTAGTTATATCTAGGCTTAGTTTATGTGTTTACAGTTGTCTAGGCTATAGTGGGTTTAGCCTTAGGAGGTACATAATTTCTCTCGACATTCTACTTGTACCCCTCCCCCTTTCCTAGTCACTCATTCTCGTCACTTATTCTAACATGGTATTAAGAGCGAGAATTTCCTAGGATCTAATCTTAATGGGCCCACCACCTACTGCCCTACTAGCCTAGGCCCCGGCCCGTCGCCCCTAGGCGTCGCCCCTAGCCCCTAGGCTCGGCCCCTTGGCCCCGTCGACTTCGTCGCCCCGCGCCCAGCCCGTACTTAGCCCGCGCTCGGCCCCTTGGCCCGTCGCCCCTAGCTCGGCCCCTCGGCCCCGCTGGCCCCGTCAATTCCGTCGCCCGCGCCCGGCCCGTTCCTAGCCCCGCCATCAGCCCGTACCTAGCCTCGCGTTCGGCCCCGTTC